CCCCCCCCCCCCCCCCCTTCCCTCTCTCTCTCTCATTTTTGTGTCTATGTATGATGTGAATATTTTTATTGATTCAAAACTCAAACTCAAAAATATATTAATTTTATTAACTTATTAAAATATAAATTAAATTAAATAATTCATTAGACATGTTATTTGTTTGTATTTTTTTTATCACTTTAAATTATATTATATTTTTTAAGAAAAAAGAAAATCAGTGCAACGCTTTGCGCATAAAATTTTAACAAATTATTTTATGGTATTTTTTATAACAAAATATTTGATTGTTTATCATGTAGGAATTACTATTTATTTATTTTTATCACTTTTTGTTAACCTAATAATAAAAATCAAATAATTATGTAACCTTCATAAGATATGGTTAAAGTAAAGGTTAGCCAACAAGATGGAGGTTGAATTGTGGTTATCTTAAAATTTGAATTTTTTTTATCAAACTAATGTTTAGAAGTCGATGCTTTTGAAGGTTTAAAAAATTGATTCTTCTTCTGAGCATTTTCTTTATAAATTAATTTCTTAGAAGTTTGTGCTTCTAAGGTATTTGAAAATACTTTCTACTTATTTAGAAACTCGATATGATATGCCACAATCATGTACCAATAAATATGAGCAGCTCAAAGTAATTTAAGTAGATATGAGAGTAAGGGGTAAGAGAGATTTCACACTATGATTTATCTTAGTTCACCCAACTTTGGGTTACAATCAGTCCCCACACACATTATGGGATTTCTCTACCATAATTAAGATCAACTACTTTGCATACAATCACCAAGACCTGTTGGATTTCTCCTACACAAACCAGCCACCTGTTATTTGTGTAGTCACCATTAGCCAACTACTAAGTAACCCTTAACACATGTTAAGCAAACCACCTTCACAATCCACATCTATCAATCAAACCACAACCAATTGGTTGCAACTTTTCTACCTTTTCTTTCCCTCTACACACTAGATCTGAATCAACAATCAAATATGTTTACAGATTTGAGAAACCTTAACAACTATTAAAAGTTTCTATGTAACTCTCTTACGATAAGAGTATCCACTAAGGACGTATTCTCACTCTTTCTATTACAGATCATATTACAATTGTGTATGGTGAGAGCTTTGCATCACAAAGCATGAAGCAAGTAATTAAAACTTTATCTAGTTTGGATATTGATAACTTTCAATGTTCTTGCTAGCTTGATAATGGATACCTTGGTCTTGTTTTATAAGCTTTAGAACGTATTTATTGAAGCTTGCTTATGGATGAAGCAGAGTTGACAACGATGTGTACCTTTAAATAAGTCCAATTAGAAGAAAAAAAACATCAAAAGATCTTTAGCTTCTGATATTGTCTTCTAATGATGCTTCTAAGTAACCTTCTAAACTTTGAACTAGGACTTGCTATTTTTCGAGGTTACTAGATAAACTATGATTCAATTTCCTCAAGGTATCTTTTCCTAAGAGAAGATGTTCATACTTAAAGATCCCTAATGCATAAATCTTGAGCACTTTGACCAAGGAACAAAGATAGTCAATGATAGTTGTCTCTATTTCTGAGTGTCCTTCTGAATAGTATACCTTAGAAGATATAATACATTTAGCCTAAAACACTTGAGCAGATATGTAAGAAAACATTGATTACTCTTCCCACATTTGGATTTAAAGATTTGTCCTTATTAAATCCATTTAGAATTCAACAATCTCTCCCTTTTTGATAATGACAAAACTTTAGTTTCATGATTTTAGGAAGAGTTTTATACCTTTCATTTTGATCATAAATCAGAGAATATCAATTCACTTCAATTAAGGATTTCTAGGAACATATAGAGTGTTGTATGCATTCTTCTTGCAACTTTTCTTTATACTTCAAGAATGTTTATACATTCATGCTCAACTCTTTATTGTAACACTCTTATTCATAATGAAATTTCATTTTCATAGGCTCCCCCTTAATTCATGTTTTTAAAAATTTATATGGATTCTCCCCCTTAATTTAAGCATTTAACAGATTCAAAACATTCATTAGAACAACCACATTTAGACAATAACATTCATCACATATATAAAAACATTAAAAAAATATGATGGTAAAAAAATGCACACATTGTGCAACTAAATATGTGTTCATAGTACAATTATCCCATCAAGATGAAAATTCATCAAAAACATAAAAAATAAACTCCTAAATTAAAGTTCCTAAAATCTTCCAACTTCTCCCCCTTTTTGTCATAATCAAAGAAGGTTTACAAATAGCACCAAAGACTTCAATCAGTCTTGGAAGGAGAGGAATTCTTTGATGATTCCTAGGATGGATAGCTGGATTCCCTTAAGGTTGAAGGAGGTGCATGTGAAGGAGGGTTCCCATGAGGAATCACCCTTGGAACAAGCGTGGTTTCCAACCACTCCATAAACAGTAGATACCTGTCAAGAAATTCATTAAGGTTGTGTTATTTTGTCTTGAATGGATAGTATAGCCTTATGTTCCTTCCTTGGGAGAAGAAGCTATTTTTCAATGTCATCAAGCTTATTTTCCATAGGCTTGGAAGTGTTAGGCTCAAAAGTAGGAGCAAGTTTGGTATCTGGCTCAAACCCTAAAAATTATCCCTTGAAACATGGGCTAATGATGGTAAAAGTAATCTTGTATTAGGAATTTTAGCTCGTGCTTGTGGTGGAACAAAAGATGGACCTCCATCATTAGTAGCAAGAGGGTGCAGGGGAGGGGATGGAAGGGAAATCAAGTAGGCATATTTTGTAGAGGTAGGTACAAATATTGGCTTGGTAGAAGTGTCAAATACAAATGATTGCAATAACAAATTCAAATTCTTAGTATTAAAAAATAAGTCCTTATCAAAAGGTTGTGTGGTAGGCTCAATAACTAAAGGAGCAAGAGTACTTAAGGAGATTAGTGGGACAGATTCCTTAATAGGAGGAGTAGGAGTAGGAATTGTTTCTTCTTCAAGAACATTCATTAAACATGTTTCTTTATAATGAATTCCACAAGT